ATGTCATGTGTTTGTGGATGTAGTGTGCCTGCTAAGTTAGTGTTAGGAGAACTCTGCCTGGGCTCCTTGAGTGCCTGCTGGCCAGGAGTTCTAATGCCCAAAATGGCAGTATCTCTCTAACCTTCTAATCCTCATCAATTGGAGGTTAGAATAACTTCCATTTTCAAGCATAGCATCGTCCTAGTGTTCCTAAGCTCTGAATTCAGGCAAACTGTACTGTTTTTAAAAATTTATTTTATCAGTTTTCAATGATCATTAAGAAGTTTTGAGCAGCCTTCATAAAGAAACTGGCAGGTTCCTGCCTGTATTTGTAGTGACTGGGCTTTATTATTATTACTAATTATGATGACGACAACGATGATGATGATGATGATGATTATGAACCCATCTGTACTTTGGCTGACTTACAGAAGTGTATCATTTAATGAAATCTTGGCAATGAGACTGGGCACACATGTTGGGTGTACTGTTGACTTTTACCTGCATGTGGTGAACAGAAGCCTAGTGAAGCCCTGCTAGTGAGGACAATTTGTCCATTTTGATGTAGACCTCATTTATAACAGGCACACTGCAAGATAAAGGCAGCCTTCTCTTTCATTCCTAAATGCTTTTTCTTTGCCTCATTTCACAGAACATTCCAGGAAGTGAGATAAAGGGGTTGATTATGAATGTGCCTGTCACTTAGAAAGCTGTTAAAATCATGCTGAAATTAGCTCTAAGTGCGACTTAGTTGAATTCTCCAGTATCAACCGATATGAGATGGTGTTGTATTGTGATGGCCGTGTTCACCCTAGGGAAATGATTGATGTGTGTCCAATTTAAGAAGCTAAGGCAAATTTATCTGGCTGCAGATTATATGTGTGCACACACATACACAAAATGTTTACTTGACTCTCCTAATACCATGAGCTTCCCATTCACTCAGTATAAAGACTTCCTAAACAAGGAGCTAGTAAAAAGAGTATCAGGTAATTTGCTAATATCCATCAGCACACTACTGAGGTAAATTTGCCCTCAATCAGTCATAACTTCTAATTCTTTTGCCATCCTGTACCTCTGGCATAGGTCTCTTCTGATGGTTCTATACCTCCTGCTCTACACACCCAGAATGGCCTGGAGTTATCTGTGTGAGGAAGGAAACATGTCTGCCCTTCATGTGAGCCAGGCATTCTTTCTCATTTATGCTTTGGACATTATTTGTCTTCTCCACACTTGGGTTCAGTTGGAGAACAGTAAAACTGGAAGAGACTTTGATTAAGGCCAGATCTTTCTTACTTTTTAATAACTTGAAAGAGATTGAACTTGGAAAAAAGAGAAGATGGCATCTATAGATGCTTTTCCCAGAACAGATCATGGTAGACAGCTGAGGCACATTTAGGTCCGGCCTAATCTACATGTCCTTTTATGGACAGTTGTTAGGTTTTCTTATTACCATCAACAGGTGTGCTGCAGAATCTTTTGGTTTTTTTTTTAAAGTGAAGAATATTACCTTTAGATTAACATAGCCTTGATAGAATTTCATTCCACATCTTAATACAACCAGAGTATTCCTGAGCATTTATCCCTTCCCACCACATGTGTATTAATGTCTATGCACCAGGCAATATGATAGCAAGAGAATTCACATGAGACTATCACAGACCCAGGCCTCACCCTTATGAACTTTATAATTTAGAGAGGGTGACAAACAGTAAAGACTAACCATGACTAACGTGTGTCTAGAAACTTAGAGAAGTGTAATAAAACAGCACAAAAAGGAAGACCCTATTTCTATGATGGAAGTTTTCAGGACACTGAATTGAGACAGAAAACAAGCAATGGTCCTCTGGAAATTACAGTCGAGCTGATAAGATGCCATAAGGATTACTTGAAAGTGGCTCAGGGTGGTAAGGTCTTAACTGCTGAAGACAGCACCTATGTATCTCATTGAAGATGGAAAAGTCAAACCGGTGTCTAACTAGAGCAGTCATCCCTACTGACTAGTGTCCGTGGTACTGGGAGGTACTCTGCACACTACCAGAGGATAAAGGCAAACGCCATCCTAGCTCCGAAAGCTGCAACCTACAATAGTGACCTGTCTGCAAGATGCACCATTGCAGTGGTGGGAACCCTGCAACCTACAGTAGTGACCTGCCTGCAAGAAGCACTATTGCAGTAGTGAAAACCCTGCAACCTACAGTAGTGACCTGCCTGCAAGATGCACTATTGCAGTGGTGGCACAGAGCTGGTGGGAGAAACCAACCACTATCTGCTTGGATTTAAGGCCCATTCCATGAACTGGAGCCTGTGCCTGACACTGCTCAGGTGTCCAAGAAGTTGGGGCTAGGTAGACCCAGGGGAAAATCAGATACTATTGTTCTGCTGAAGAAATGCAGCAATATAATGACTCCCAATGACATTCTGCTATACTCATAGATCAGTCCTTGCTCAGACACCATCAGAGAAGCTTCCCCCTGATGTAGTTGGAAACAAATAGAGTTCACAAGTGAACAATCTGCAGAGAGGGAGCGACCTTGGAACATCCAGTCCTAAATGGGATGTCTACATCAAACCCTCCTCATAGAGCTCAGGGAATCTGGCAGAAGAGGAGGCAGAAAGACTTTAAGAGCCAGTGGGGAAAGGAGACACCAAGGAAACACGTCTTCCAGACTCAGCAGGACTGACACACATATGGACTCATAGGGATGGTGACAGCATGCACAGGCCTGCACAGGTCCAAGCCAGATGGGTCCCAGCACTGAGAGGGGAAGTGGGCACGAGCCCCTCCCTAGCCAAGAAACTATCTCCAACAACCACTTAAGAAGGAAAAGTCAGTTTTCTCCAGTGGGGTCTCAGTGGGTCTACAAACCACATCAAGGGCAGGCCCCATGCCTAGCAGTAGATAGCCAACACCAAAAGAGCGCAGTGCTGGTTTTGCAGATGTTTTGTCTTATAAAGCTTTGTCTGGACATTCTGTTCTTTTTACCTTGGTCTTTAGCTTCTGTATCATGGTTTCTGATTTTGTGTTTTTATGATATCTCTGTCTGTCTGTCTGTCTGTCTGTCTGTCTGTGGGATGTGTGTGTGTGTGTGTGTGTGTGTGTGTGTGTGTGTGTACATGTTAGTGAAAGCCATAGCATGCAAATGGAAGCCAGAGGACACCCTCGAGTATCAATCCTTAACTTCCACCATGTTTAAAGTGTCCTCTGTCCTTTGCCGCTGTGTATGCCAGCTGGCCCAACAGGGGGCAGGGATTCCCCTGTCTCTGCTCTCACCACAGGAACACCAGGATTTCAGACACCTGGCACTGACCCCGGCCGTCTCCCCAGCCACTGAGTTTTTCACGGTTACTTTTGTTGTGTGGCCTTAGTTCTCTGCTCGAATGTATTCATCTGCAATGTTTAGCTCAGACAGCTGTAAGCTCTGAATGAAGGAGCAGACAGCGACGTCCTAGGACATAGGATGTAGCAGGTTCCCACAAAGTTGATTCTCTTCCCCTTTATTCCTTAAGTAAAAATTATGAATTATGCAGTTTTCTAGCCTAAAGAAAACCGATGTTAGGTAAGTGGCTATTGGACAGAATTACCATGTGATTGATTCTGAGGTGTTAATTTATTCCTGTATTCATTAGTGACCGAATTCTCGGGTCCAGTCACTGTGTTCTCAGTGTAGCAGACTTCTGGCTGTTCAAAGGAGTGCGTAAGGCTGGCTCCCTTAGGCTGGACAGGTATCTGTGAGTCCTTCGTGGTGCACATTGTTTAATGAAAGTCCAGTTTGTGTTTTAATGACAACGGTGATCTCTACAACAGATAAACATAAAATAAAGTAAAAAGACTGGAGTTCTGTCCATAGAGAACACCCCACCGGCCTCTTGCCCGCGAGCACGCAGCAGCTAGCCTGATTTTGAGCCATTACAATCAGTGAGCTACTCAGGCCCTTCTCCATCTGCCCTCCACGGCAGCATCAATTTTCTACCTCTTAGTCCTGAGGTGATCTTGAGAGAATTGCAGAGGAGAAGACAAAGGCCACATCCCATTATCTGCCAAGCTGTGAAGACGGGTTAAAGGAGAGTTAACGCCTCTGCTTCAAGCCCTGGTGGCGCTCACAGGTGGCTGTCATGCTGTCTGGCAAGGCCAAAAAGCCTCCTGAAATCTTGGCCAAATTCGTTTCTTCACTTACCAGTAAATGCCCAGGAGCTGGGAGTCCTCCGCTATGCACGCTGGTGATTTCCACCACTTGAAGCTCTGGCCTGTACAGAAAATTGTTCCCTCTGTCTATCCATCTAATCTCTCCCTGACACCACTTCTCCTCCAGTTCTGACAGCCCTCAGATCGATCCTCCTAAAATAGGTTTTGTGTGAAGTCAGACTTGATTTTAAATTCTGCACTTTCTCATAATCTAAGTGCCAAAGCTAAATAATGGCAAAATCTGACCCTAAGCTGCCTGCCTCGCCTTTCCCCTGTTACTTTCTTTCTCGATCTTCATATTGCTGACATCAGGGGAAGGCCCTGCAGGGCCCTGAGATTCACAGTTGTTCCTCCCTGTCTCCTGGCTCGCTATCTGGTAACGTTTTGCTTACGTGCATCTTCACAATATTTGACCTAAGTTCCTGCACTCGCTCATTTCTTCCCTAAAAGGTTTTGTTTTCTTTCATTAAAGCAAGAACCCGTAGCCCTTATCTTTCTGTTTGAGGTAACCACGTGCCTCTCCCCCATGGGAAGGGACATGGAGGCAGTCATCAGATTCTAGAAATAAGAGTGGAAATTCATGGAGAAAGCAATCAAACGCATATAAACGTATCTCTAAAAATAATCTGGGCATCTACTCAATACCTCATTCATGATTCAAAACAAAGTAGTATCATGAAAACACTGAGTGGGGAAACTGAGGACATTAAGTTACTTGTCCAAATACTAGTACTTATTTCACAACTTTGATGTCTCAAAGAGGATTTGCCAGATTGCATAACGCAGCTTTTTTAGCAGAGAGCAGATGATTCACTGTCCCTTCTTATATTCACAGGGGCTGCTCTAGGAGCCATTGGAGCTTTTAGAAGGGAGAAGAGCCACCAGAATCCTGCTTTTAGAAACCTAAAGACTAAAGTTTCTAATTTTACTGGGGATGGAGCTCAGCGGTTGGGTGCTTGTGAAACATGCAGAAAAGTCTAGATTTCTGTTGCCGGCACTGCAAAAACAAAACAAAACTTAGAAGGGTTATAGCCTGCTGCAAAGGGGAAGTACATGGGAACTACTTCTGAGGAGCAAAGATAGCAATCCTGACTGGATCTAACACTCACAGAATGCTGAAAGGGTAATGGTTCATTCTTGAGGCCTGACTATGCATTCATACATATTGAGGTGACTCAAATGTGAAATGTGTGGCATGACAGTCCAGCAACCCAAAGACCAGCTTGGACTTACAGGACACTGGCGGTCCTGCACAATACATAATCTGAAAGCTGCAAGGGAAGCAGAGACAGGAAGGAGGCTCGGGGACCATGTGCAGTTTAGGGATCTGATTAAAAATGAGCGGTCAGGTAGCAAGGCATGACGTAACCAAGACGGTTGCTGAACAGCTCAGCTGGCTAGATGCATATGCTATCTGCAATATTCATACAGCATTGACATTTTTGTTTTAAGTAAAATATGAAGTTCCCTGGGCTCAAGGTCTTAATGGGATGGAACAGCAGCCATGGTACAGGACCCTTTGCGTCAGAACACTGGACAGGGGACAGAAGGCCCCACTCCTCTCACTAAGAGTCAGCAGTGGTTTGGATTAAGACATTCAAACCATCGCTGTGTCCTCCTCTTTGACCTCATGGCAATGCAAATCCCCCACTCACCCTTGTTAGGCAGCACCAGAATTTCCTCTATACCTACTATTTTCCCTGTAGACTAGGGGTGGACAAACTTCTACATTAAGACAATACTGCAAATATTTTAGGTTGTGCAAACCATGGAGGGGCCCCATCAGCTACTCAGTTCTGTTATTGTAGCACAAATTCAGCCAGACATCTCACCTGACCAACCAATGTATCATATTCTAAGAAAACTTTATTTAGAACATAGGCTGTGGGTTGGATTTGGCTTTCAAGAGGAAAACTAAGTATCCTTTTATTATATCCTGACCACTTTGCACAATGAGGACTCGGCAGACATTTGTTTAAGGAATTAAAAGGATATTATTTTAGCTCAGTCTTGCCAGGAAAGTGGAATTATTCAAGTAATAAAACAATGCCACGCAATTTTAAAGTTACTTCCTGTCCATTCTTCCAAAGCAAGCCACCATCTTTATAAGTTTTCATTTGCTCCTACTTTAGTCTTCCTTTTCTTTCAAAGGCCTGCTCATTTTCTTTATGTGCGTGCCTTCGGCATGGCAAGGTGTTCGCTGCATTCCTGTGGGGCTGTTGCTTCGTGTGCACTTTACTAGCTGAGAACAGGAGCAGCGAATACTCATCCTCTTTACCTGCAGCAGAGAGGGGTGGTGTGGCTGAGAGCAAGCGTGAGCCTTGCTCATCGGGATCTATTTAGTGACCACCCCGTCTCTCCACAGTGCACCGACTGGGGAACTGGCTTGTTCGAAGAGCTATCATTTATCTAGATCCATTGAGTGGCATTTTGTGTGGCTTCTCAGACATGATTTACTTCCTCAGATTATGGAGGGGAAAAAGGAAGTTCTTGAGGATTTGGCTTGTACCTTTGCCAGGTAATGAGTGTAACACAGCGCAGGTGAACAGCTCATTTGTGGCAGCCACATCTAACAGACATCAGCAAGATGCGGAGGCAGATTAGCTTAACTAATCCCTGAGAACTCACATTACTCTTGGGTTATCTAAAGAGAAAGGAGCACAACAGGAGAGATGTCTGTCTTTTAAAGGGACCCCAGGAAACCATGATGACTTCCACTCTTCCCAGGTTTAATAGTACCTTGTGTAGCAATAGGTGATTATCAGTTGGAATTTTGTAGTGTCAGACCCCAAAGAGATGGGCTTGAGAGTATCACATACTGTTATCTGGTCACTTGAGCCAGACAGCGGGAATAAGCGTGGCTTCCTTGTGCACGAGTCTGACACTGGACAGGCCGCAGGACTCACAGTTCTGAGCCAGAGTCTCTCTCAGAGCCAAGCAGGTTTTCAACTGTCTGTGAATTGATGTAAAAGTCTGTTACAAATTAAAGCTAAATGCAGACCAAAAAAAGAGAGGAAAGGATTAAGAAAGAAGTTAGAAGAAATAGGAGAGTGAAAAGGAAGTCTGGAGCACAATAATTTATACAGTAAAATAAATATGAAACAAAAATAAATTATGAAATAATTTCATTTCAGTTTCTTTAACATTCCTCTGGACTAGATAGGGTTAATTACCCCTTTACACATGAAGAAATTGGCCTAAAAAGGGATTAAGAGATTTAATCACACCTAGAAGTGGGGAAGCCTGGTTATAAATCTAGAGCATTCTAAACCTGAGAGGGAATTTCAAATGTAGGAAGAATGAGCTAGATTGGAGGGGGCGTTACTATGGGATGGCTGTCCCCTTAGCCATCAGTACAGTTATGACCTCACTAAAGGTATCAGTCATCTTCTTGAAAGCACACGTCCTTACATTGCTCAAAGGTGTGCACACAAGCATCACAGTGAACGCTCCAGTTTCCTGTCTGCGCTGATATGCCTGCCACCAGTTTTCCTACAGGGTGGCCTATGAGCCACACAGACAGATGCTCCTGTTTGGCGTTTAGAAGTTGTACTTTTCTTCTAGGTTCAAATCCAGTTTTCCTGCACATGCTGGTCTTTCCCCTTTTCCAAGTGATGGCAAATTTCTAGCTGACAGGGTCTCACATCACACCTGATTTCCCCCGTGCGACCCGGTTCTCCATCCTTGTAGTCATGTCGTGTTTATTTGGATATGTCTTGGAAACACTGGAAGTTTGTCTTCATGTTTTCTACACTTGCACATGCTCACACAGGATACCCACACAAAACTACCCTCACAGCTATGTAAACAATGACCTAAGCATGGAGAACATTTCAGATACAAATCCCAGATTCGGGTGTCTGTGTAGGGGAAGGTGCTGTGGCGCTCACATCCTGGGCCCTGTGCGATCTCTCACGTGGAAACGGTGTTCTGTGTTTGCACAATACCTTTGTACTCATGTTTTCTGTCCTTTCTCAACACGTGGCGTCCGTTCCTCAGGCTCCTATCAATCACAGAACAAGGAATTCTTTCATCTCGGGGTAGATATTTAACATTTGACTTCCAATATTTTTAGTTTGCTCCTCAGTTTCAAAAGAAACTCTAATCTCAGGGAAGCCTGGTCTTGGGTGTTCTGTCATGACCACGTTGTCTGCGTTACTTTCCGCCAGTTTTTCAGGGCACTCTGGGTTCACAATCAGAAGAAGAGTCTGTCTAAAAGACGTTGGAAGTTATGTAAAACCTGCAAACACAGATGAAAACCATTTTTTTCACAAGGCAGAGCAGTAAACAAGGGAAACTGATGAGGGTGGATTCCAAGAATAATAAATAATAAATCCACTCACAGATGCCGGAGCCCTGACACCGGGTCCCAGAGTCTGTTCCACCTGTCTTTGGCCTCTGTCATCTCCTCCACATCACTGCTCTTTCTTCCTTGCAGGAGTCAGTGACTGTGGTCATGGGTTCTGAAAGAATAGATGCACTAAAGCCAGGAAGTCTGGATTCAAGACATGACTCAGCCGCACAGATCAATCAATCAAAGCCTCTAAGTTGATGTGTCCAGCTGTAAAATGGAACCATTGAAATCTGGTGACCTGTGTGATTGGACTGAGGTAGGAATGGAAGCAAGTAGAAGCACTGAGAAAAACATTACATTTATTGATGTGGGAGGCAGGGGGAAGGTCCGCCTGACGGAGGGCATGGGTGGAAGTTAGAGGACAACTCTTTGGAGCCAGATCTCTCCTACTCTAGACCCCAGGATCAAACTGAACGTGTGAGACAGGCTTCTGCAGTTACTGAGCTAACTTGCCAATCCATTATTTGTAAAATTCCACATCTATACGAATATCAAAATTTTATGGTAAACATTTGTATATTCAGTTGTATTGGATGTTTTAATAACTTTCTCGTGTTCCCACAAATCTTTTTAGAGCAGATGCATTTTCTGTAAGATGATGTGGACTCAGGGACTCAGTTACCATTCCTTAGCAGTAAGTTTTATATTTGTGTGCCCTGTTGAGTCAGTTATGACAGATTCCTGTAGTAGGAATCTTAGAGGTCTTATTAATAAAATCAAGCCTGAGGCCAGTTATTGGAGTGAATGCTGGAAGATCAGAGAGACAGAACAAGCCACAGCTTCCTCACCTTGCCAGTTCCTCAGCTGATCTTGTCTCCTCAGACTGGAAGCCTCTGAGTCCTCATATCCGAATGGGTCTCAGCTGAACTGCTTCTCGAAAGCCTGAATGCTTAACCAGCCAATTGCTTAACCAGCCAAATGCTTCTAGTTTCTGGTCCTCATGCCTTATATATCTTTCTGCTTTCTGCCATCACTCCCTGGGATTAAAGGCTTGCTTCCTGGGATTAAAGGCATGTGTCACGATGCCTGGCTGTTTCCAATGTGACCTTGAACTCACAGAGATCCAGAGGGATTTCTGCCTCTGAAATGCTAGGATTAAATGTGTGAGTGCCACCATTTTCTAGCCTTTGTATCTAGTGACTGCTCTGTCTCTGACCCCAGATAAGTTTATTAGGGTGCACAATATTTTGGGGAACACAATACCACCACAGATTCCACATATTTCAAAAATGCAAAACACAAGAAGTAAGAGTCCCTGAAGCTCCAGAGAGTTCTTGACAAAGTCTGAGCTGGGTTTCTCTCTTTGGGGTCTTTCTTTATGGTAAATCTCTTTCACTGGGACCAGAGTGAGCAGAGGAGACCCTTTGTTTTGAGCAATCTCAAGGAAGCTGTGGAGAGAATGTGCTGGAAAGAGAGGACACCAGCCTGAGGCAGACCAAGGAGCCAGCTGGCTGCAAGAGTTCAGGGGCTCTGCTCCGCAGCAGGTCACATGACTGGTGAGTGTCCTCATCACTCACGTCTTCTTTGGAGACATCTGAGCGGGCAAACGGTGTCACAGATGGTCAGACTTTTGTGTCTTACCAGTTATTTTGCAAAATTGCTTTGTTCTGGGAGGAGATCTTCCATCGAGGAAAATTCAGTTAATTTATGAAGACATCTGTGAGTAACACAGGAAAATTTTGAACAAACGACATCGCTAGTGTCACAGAGTCCTGGAAAGAACATGAACTTGGGTCAGAGAAGAGACTTTCCTTCTGGTGTCGTTTCTGGCTGTGGGATGGTGGAGATGATGTGGTTTCACCCTGTGGGATGGTGGAGATGATGTGGTCTCACCTCTCTGGCCCTGTCTGTGTCATATGGAGGAAAGAACCAGTGATTTCCGACATTCCTGGCACCTGCAGTCATCTCACTCTCTGCTAGTGACCGTCACAGATGCCACCACAGCTGGTCAACAGAGTCAACAGAGTGCCTCTAATGTTTATAGGATGTAGAAATGACTAATTGATTATAATGTGGCTATAAATGATATCAGGGAAAACTGGAGTCGGGCAAACAGCAAAGACCAAAAACAAATAGAAAATAAAATCCACTGAAGGATCACAACAGAGGTTCAAAGCATTCCTTATCCACCCAACTTGAGACTCAACA